TGTTTCCATATTATTCACTTTCTGTCACAACAAAAACAACAGGTCACTTTGTCACTATCACTTGATAAATTCCGATGGTTTTTTTTCATTTTACCCGTTCACGGGTTAAGTTATAAACACTTATCACAAATAACACTTAAGTGAAGTCCTCGCTATCCATTTTTGACAAATGATCGCTGCGAATGTAGGTTGTTGTTATCGTATTTAACTGCATACAGAGAGCTTGACAAACGTCGTTACTCTAAGACCTTCGCGGCCACTGTGAGTGGATGTTCTCTAAACACCGGCCGGTTAATCATGTGACGGCGGGCGCGACGGCGTCAAAATATGGCACGGGGCGTCGGAATGTCGAGGCACATTCCTGCACTCGTGCCATTAAAATTATAGAGTAAAACTATGTGTAAGGCTCTATAGGCATAGGTGAAACATGTTAATCTTTGTGAGTCCGCAATGGTAACTATAGTTTTTATTTGGTTCGCACGTTCGAGAAGCGCCTCAACAGGCCGCATCGAGCCACGCTCGTCCACACGTGACCGCCACCGATGACGTGACTTAGGTACTTCGAGTACTTCGACTCGCGCACCGTGTCTCGCTTTGTCGTGTTTCGTTTACATTGTAAAACATTCATCATTATTGATATGTCAAAGAAAACGAAAGGTTATGGAAATAAATTGTCAAAATAATGGTATCACGTCACGTAACACTTAATGGCTCATTCAGGACACAAAAATGTATGTTGAATCTTAATACGTAGGTCTTTCACGAATTTTGTGTCCTTCACTTAAGTTGGAAATTAATATTTCTATTTCCTGTTTAGCATCTCAATGAATTCAAAGATCAACTTTCTGCAGAATTGATAGTATATTCATTTGTCACTTATATTGATCCCAGCATACAGGAGCTGAGAAGATGGGTGAGTTAAGCTTAAGCCCAGCCTCCAATAGTCTTCAATTGTTTTTTTTATTTTTTTGTAATTATGATGAACCAGTGGATTGAATAGCGCTATAGAGTAGATTTGAAAAAATGTACTAGGTATTTAGTTTGGTGTGTCCTTAAAACGTATTCACTTAAACTATTATTTATTGCCGGAATGGGTCATCGAGTTAGTATTAATAAAAGATGAGTATTTGATAATTATAAACTTAATCATTTTACTTTAATAAAAAAACTAAACATTTTCGGGTAATTAACCCTTAATGCAGAGTCAATTATTGCCATAGTCACTTTTACAACATTAAAGTAAAGAATAAAAACCAGTGTCGAGGGACGCACAGTGTAGGGTTCTGTACAGTGTAAGTTTATAGAAGTATCAAAGTATCATCATCAATAGCCCCTAACAATCTACTGCTGGACATAGGCCTTTCCTTACAATAGTTATATTAATAGTTTTCTCCCTTAGTAGTAGTTAGTAGTTTTCCCTCTTACGATTAAAATAAATAGAATACTATAGATGAATTCAGATAGCCAATTGTCGTAATAAAAGTTCGGTACCCACGGCATGAATAGGGTTGGTGACACTCTGTATTCTTAATCGGTCACGAGACGGACAAAATTAATAAATAAGTAAGTAAATTAATTCGAAATTCATTTCATTCACGTGAAAATAATCACTATACGAAATTGGGCAAAATATAGTTATCACTCTCAACTATAGTCCATTAACGTCGTGCGCGACCGTCCTTCGGCGTGACAGACGGTGGCGGGGACGAGGTACTCAAGATGTCAGCGGCTAGCGGGTGGTGTAGCGGGGAAGGGAAACGCTTCTCTTCGTGTGTAGCCGTGTGCTAGAATGACGCGCTACTTCGCCCCCGCCACTGTCTGTCACCCCGCGGGACGGTCGCGCACAAGATTGCCGGGTTATAGTGACACTTTGCCTTAATTATATAATGCAAAAAAAACTCTCATAGTGACAGCATTATAGGAACTGGTGGTTGTGATTAGTGTCGTTATGTACTTTGGTAAGGTAGGTTGCAGTCTTTGACAGCAACATTGACATATTTTCATTAGTGAAATTAACGGCGTGATTAGTTATGTGAAATCTACGCGAAATAGTGTATTTTTTGTTTAAGAACGGTAATCGTCGAAATTATAAGGGAAGTGAAATTTTTATTTTTACGAATAATGTCTTTAAGTGTAAAGTGACAGTTTTACTGTTATTTTCCTATAATTAGTTAGGATAGTAACAGCAGACAATTCCAGTGATTTTCGATTTAAAATCATGGTCTGAATTCACTACTACAGTATTCGTTACGATGTCCCTTACACCCTGTATGTATATATATTATTATTATTATTATTTATATGTATTATGTTTGAAATAGTGAAGTGCAGGAGCTCTAAACCATATTGTAAATACGTTTGGCTAAGCATATTTATACATACATGTGATATCTGTTAAGATCTGATACACTAATTTTATGTCTTGTTAAGCACTCTTCTATTTTATTTTCTTTGTGTTTCTAAATAAAAACTTTTTCATTTTTTTCTTTTTCATATGACGAAGTTATGCCCGAAAATTCATAAAAAATATATGTGTATAATCATCCAAATTGATAACGTCCTCCTTTTTGAAATCGATTAACAATAACCCTGAATAGAAACAGCAAATTAGTTTGCAGTAGCACGTTTGACAACATCCTGTCCTCAAATTATTGACAAAAAACCGATCCGGTTTCCTACTAATACACTTTATTCTATCTAACGAAACGCCGCATAGAGTATGTGATATAAAGTCGTGTACACTCACACACGTCGTATAACCCCCCCCCCCCCCCCCCCCCCCCCACACACACACACAACACAACACACAGTAAGCTACCTAAGCACCTATCTATACATTTAATACCTTACTTCATTACTTTAAATATTTTTGTTAAATGCTAAAAGACCCTTATTTAATGATAAGTTTTTATCGGGCAAGACTTAGTTTTAATACTTTTGCCACTATCATTGTTACCGTTTTGTTTCAGTTCTCGTGTTGTCCAAATATACGTTTTATTATTATTTCGTAACAATGCAACCCCATCACATCACATCCAGTGAGGACTCGGCTCAGCACACGCTGGCAATTTGCCCGGCTTGGGCGCCTCAGCGCCGGTTCCTCATTGCAGTCATCGGGGGGATCTCTCGCTACCGGCCGTCATACGCTCCATGGCCGGTAGTGACAGATGTTTCACCGCGGTCGCATCCTTCTGCGAAGACGTCATCTCGCAGAAAGAGGCGGCGGAGAGGGCCCGAGAGGACAACCTCAACTCGGACGCAATCCGTCGCCGGCGAAACGGGCGGCGGAGGCGCGCTTACCATCGCCTCATGCCGCCCTGAGTGTGGCCCGCGGTTGGAAGGGACGGGTTTTCTCCTCCACCCGCCATAACGGCCAGCCGCGAGGAGGCTACGTCCGCGTGTACCAGACGTCGCCTAAATGGAGAATATACCTGAAGGTGGCGCCCGCGCCATTGCGGGCAGGCGCTTGGAGGGATCCGGATGTCTTAATAACAGCAGTTACCGGATCACACCGTGGCACACCGTGTGGTTTTAGTCGGTCCGATTTCGACACACCCCTCCGCCGTAAACCCCGGTGGGATGACGGCTCGAGGGGGTTTCCACACGTAAAAAAAGGGTAAAATATTTCCTGAAATAAAACCCTTCGTTTTGTAATATATTTTGAAGAAATTTTATAGCATTCGTAGATTGACAGTCAATTCGTAAATTAAAGTTGGAAAGAATGTAATAAAATTTAAATTTAGGGATTTTTGTGACAAGATTTTTCCCATTACCATTGTTTAAAGGTTTCCTGGTACTGATTACCAAAACCAAGATTAAGTCACATCGACACAACTGTTGAGATATTATTCCACTTCCAATAGGTCATGTGGTGATGGTTGTCTAAATAGACTGTAATAATGAGGGTTACAGCTAAAGTAAGCATATATTCTTGCATTGTCATCATTGCAGATTTCAGATTAAAAGTTATTTGCACAAAAATGGGTGAAATACTTTAAATTAAATTAGGTTATAAGCATACCAGAATAAATGTTAGATATTTTTTAGTTTAAAGTTTTCCGGTTTAACATGTTATTGCTGAAAACGCATAAATTTAATTACTTAAATAAGACAAAAATAAAATACGAAATTAAACTGATAATAGACACTTGGAATTTGGAATGTAAGTTGCAAAGAGGCTGTGCCGCTGTGGCAACTTCCACATATAGAGAAAACAAGAACATACTACACCATACTACTCACAAAGAAACACCGAACTGCTAATCCTGTATCGATATATAAATAATTCTCACGCCGATTAGTACATATAGAACTTTCCAACATCAATTGATGGGCCATTTACTAATAATAATAGGATGGAGGTGAGCTTGACAAAATGTTCATGAATTTTGTCAAAATAGGCGCACCATCTCAATATTTAGTTCTCATTTGTATTTTGCATAGAGGTATAACTTAAAGGTAACATACGGGGAATATGTAGTACGTAGAATAGAAAAGGGGGGGGGGGCTAATAAGTAGCCAATCGCAGCTTATCTAAACAGAGAGCTAAACAGAGACAGAGGGAAATATCGGGCATCCATCACTCTCGTTGCCAGTATTGTTTCTACTTACAGGCATCTGTACCCCGTGTTCTCTCTATGGTATTTTGTCCACGGAAAATACGATTTGTTGTTGGCAACATTGGATTTGACAGATTCGTTTACGTTTAGTTTATTCCTAATTTAAAATATAAAAGAGGTGATGCTATGAGGTTAAAATAAATAAATTATATTATGCACAGTGGGAATAAAATCCCTTTTTTAAATAGTATAAATATTTTATTAGTTTACGAAGAATAATCTGGTACCATTACGAGAGACTTAAACCACTCGTACACGTCATCGTGAAGTACTAACGAAACGCAACCAAATCTGTCAATCAAATTGTACAGCAGATTTTCAGAAGAGGCGTTCATTATTTTACGTTTTTTGCATATAACACAGTGGTTAAAATCAGTGAAAATGCTTGCTTTGATCAATCGCATCCTTGATTGGATTAAAAGCTTGTTTTGGAAGGAGGAGATGGAGCTGACACTAGTTGGATTGCAGTATTCGGGAAAAACAACTTTTGTTAACGTCATTGCCGTTAGTATTCTCTGAAAACAATATATTTGTAGTGTTATAACTTCCTTGTACGCTTGAGCTCGACTTATGGCTGATTTATAACACCTATAAGTGATTCAAAGTACTTAAACATCGATTTTTGTATGCTGAAATGTATTATATTTTTGTTGAATACTTTTCTCATGAATAAGTGTTTGACACTGTATTATCACCTCAATCATTGTTTTTGTTCATACATAACGTGTATGTCTGTCGTTCATAACAAAGGATATTATAAGATCTCATTGGTCTTGGATTACAGTTAGAGAACATTTACATACACTATAAATTTTGGTGAAAGTAACATTCAATTAGCATAATAATGGCTTAAAGTAAGAATTTAAACTTATAACAATTAACTTTCTGTGGTATAAAGGTCTTTTGGAAATCTTTTGATCCAAATTTTAGTGCTGCAAAGGGTTTCATTATCTGACTGAATTTTTCTAATTCTTTTAAGATTCTAACAGATTAATGTCATATTTAACTTCAGAGAAGGAAACTTTAGAATAGTAAATAAGAACATTCTACTATGTGTCTTTTTGTTGACAACTTTTATTGTCAAGAGATTAGATAATTATGCCACTTTTCATTTTTTCTAGTTTCTCCTAGTATGGGTTTTGCTATGAAATATATATAATGTTTAAATTGGACATGTACAAACATATAATGAAAATTGCTGTATGTGTATCCTAAATCTATTTTGAGTTTGACGGCACATATAATTTCAAAGTAAACTCCACCAATAAAAACTGATATTTCTTCTTCTTCTCAGCCCAAAGACATCCTCTGCTGAACACAGGCCCCTCTCAAGTTCAATGAGATTCAAAGAAGTCTTTAGAATTTTTCTTTCTTTCTTTCCAAAGAAATAATTATTGCTGACTGTTGGTACACAATTGCAATGGGTGTGGTCTAAGGTGTGTAAAACCAGCACCAGAACTCTCAGAACCAAAACGTTCTGAGAGTGAAATGTATTCATCATCACAACTCAGTATGTGGCTACAGTAGTGTATTTGACTGCTCAGACCAAATATTCCTATGTATGATGTCAATTTGCATTGTTCTTGGTGTTTCTGTGTCTAAAATGTATGTTTTTACATAAGCTTACCTAAAAAGGCAGCTCTGCTTCATTTAGGTCTAAATAGAACTATATAAAATACCCTATAATAATGCTATTATAATTTGTATAGTACTACCATATTCATACTAATATTGTAAATGCAAAAGTGTGTCCGTTTGTTACCTCTTATGCTGAAACCACTGAACCGATTTACATTAATTTTGGTATAGACATTGTTTGAGTCCTGGGAAAGGACATAGGATACATTTTTATGCTAGAAATCGTCCAAAAGTTTGTATGGGGAAACCCATTTAGATGAAATTTTGTATGGACATAGTTTGATTCTTGAGGAAGGAAATAGGCTACTTTTATGATGATAACCGACATGCATGCGGGTGGAGCCGCATGCAAAAGCTAGCACAACAATATTTTAAAAGTGTTTATAAATAAATATATTAGTTAGAGCATCACACATACATGCACAAACTCATTTTATAAATTAATCTGGCATTGGTGGATTTTGGTTACAATAAACCTTCATGTTTGGTAACCAAGGCTAGAATTTGCAGCATATATTATATACCATATTACTGTTATCATGTCATTTATACAAACATGCATTTTATTATAAAATCAATAAATTAAATACACTGGTGGTTAATTAAAGCTCAATAGTCCTAAATCTAATGTATGAATAGCTTTAAGATACCAGTATATATATTCTCAATCTTTAACAATGTGTGCTTCAAATAGAAATCCACAATTGAATATTAATTAAATTAAATGTTAAAATGAATTTAAAATATTATATTTTCTAATATCAAGGTGGCCAACAAATATGCAAACTGCTGGCTCAGTTAAAATCAAATCAAATTAAAGTAATATGTTTTAATTAATCCAATTATAAATATATTTTTAAATATCAGGAGTTTAAGTTTGTTAAAATAATTCAGTTGTTCTTCTCTCTTCAGCTATTTGCTTTCCAATTATGTAGTATGAAGAAGTACCGGCAATAACAAAAATACATATTCTTTTTCAATGTATGGTAATACAATTTTAATTACTTGCCTTAATTGTGGTTTTCAATTCCAATAACGCATACCAACTGTAAAGAAAAAAGAAGAGATGAGATATGAAGATTATAAAAATTGCTTTCCACTCATACATACATCACATACACTCACGTCCGTTATCCCCAAAGAGAGGGGGTAAACTGAGGCGTAATAATTTAAAATTTCTAATATCCGTATTAAGCTTGTCTGTAAGAGATCGCCGTGAGCGATAAGACCTCCGATTGTTACATCTACATATGTGTAACTAATCTTTATTTATGTGTTAACTGTATACAATAAAGATATAAATAAACACCTACATTTTACCCACTTTTTTTATTGTTTACAAAAAATAATTACAGTGACTAATACAATAATAGCAACTAAAAGACCAACAAGGTTTATATATGTGCTATCTCGAGTCTGTCTTTATTATTTACAAATCCAAACTATAAGAATAACAAATACAAAAGATAACACACAAGAAAAAATAATCTTAAAGTTACTAAGTAATTTTACTTAGCATAAATTCACTAAAATCCCGACTTGAACGCTAGGAATATATTCTGTGTTTCTGGGGACATGGTATTGGTTGTGGGCTCAAGTTTCCGCATTTAGACTCAAGAGTGGTCCTTTATGCGTCGAGGACAGGCTGGCTAGGTGAGCCAACCAAGCTTCTTCCAGAAGCGCATAAGTTTCTTGGGGCGTTCACAGGCTTCTAAGAGCGTTTTGTATCAGGAATGATATTTGGCCGTTGTGTGGCCACTCCCTCGCATTTCAGGATTACGTGGGCGGCCGTTGCTTCTGCATTCAAACATCCTCTGCAAAGAGGACTGGCCGTCGTATTAATGGTGAATAGTCGTCGGTTCAGGGCTAGGTGTCCTGTTTTGGTTCCTACAACTATTCGGATTTATAGTCTAGCTAGTCTAGCAATTGAGTCATGGTGTGACTTCAGTCAGCACCAGTTTGGACTGTCTGCAGCCTCACAAGTCCGTTGCCTGGCCTGGAATCGTAGTTGGTTGAACGGTAGTGGCAGGAGTATGGCTGGGCCGGTAGCCGGGGTTGCCGATCCCCTCCTTGCCAACTTATTGAGTTACTGTGCCCTTTACTCCATTGGAGCAATACCCCATTTAATGTGGCAAGCTGCTCCAATGCTTGATGGCATTCGAAGACAATACCAGAGGTCATTGTGCTGCCCTTTATGCCTTTAGGACGCCCATGCTGTCGGATAGTATTCGGATGTTATAGACCTTACTACCCTTTGATATGTCCGTTGTGGCGGCGTAGTTATTGCGACACATTCGCATTTAAATATGGAACTGTGTTGGCCTAACGCTAGTGATATGTTCATATTTAGGTCTTGTCAGAAAACTCCGGCTCCAGTTCCTGGCTTAGTCTTGGATCTCGGTCATTTTCTTGGCGCTGGGGACTTTACAAACATACATCAAACAGATACAATGAACACCCAAACTCAGAACAACGATTTGTGGATTACAAAAAGTGTAAGAAGTGGTGAGGTGACCGCTTAAACCACTGCAGTAGTAAATATATACATATTATAAATAAATTAAACCCAGACAAGGAATAGGAATCGAAACTGTGGATTCTATTCTGGCCTTGGATTCCTTAGCTGATTCTAGGTTAGCAGTCAGGTTCGCTAACCACTAGACCACACGCCAATTAAGATTCCTAAAAAGCATTACAGTGTTAAAGTGTGTGAAATACAACCTTAGATAACGTTTTTTTACATTTTATCTAAACAAAATTTAGATGCATTTTTTACTAGTTGTGCTGGGTTCTTGACTCGGCACGTAACGTAAATTGTTTTTTTCTTTTGTAAAACTGTCGGTTCGTCACGATCGCTCAGAGCGTCGTCTATAAGTGAGAGTAACAATTATTAGTAGATTCTAGCTCTGCCCTGCTCTATCGCGTCTAGTCTTATGACAACTTAAATCAACGAATAAAATAGATTAACTACATCATGGTACAATATATAAAATATTCATGAATGGAAGATTTGTGTCAGATATCCACCGCTTGGGAAAAATCAGCCAGACCAAATTAGTACAGGTTCGCTTTTGCTGAATTTTTAATGGATGGATGGACGCTACATGCTACGGACAGGTCAAGTCTTTCACGCGTCTTCACGTCGCACGCGTCGCACGTAAGCTGAAAGCATAAATGTTTGAATAAGAAAAGAGATATTACTGCTTTCGTTGTCCTTCGGCCAAAGCTGCTACACATAATTGCCTTAATAGGACAATTATTCAAATTTCTATGTAACAAAAGTATCCAGGTGTCGTACTAAATCTATTATAGTTTGACAAGGCACATAGTGTTATATTAAAGCTGTATTTAAAACGGTCATTTAATGTTTGAGACATTAGCTATTAAACCAAGGGCATTACTGATTAGTATATTATCTATTTCACTAGCGGGAAACAGGATTGATACAATTTTGTATTTATCTGTATATTGAATATAGAACTATGACGTAAGCAAACAAATGGATGTCATAGACCAAACAAGTTTGCAACTATGATCTTTATTTGCGTAAGTATTCCATTCATAGATGTTTGGATTCTGATGTCCAGAATGTGAAGATGTCTGTTGGTTAAGCTTCAAAGAATCTAATTGCATCATCTAATTTGACCTAGAAAGCAAACTAGTCAATACTTAAAGACTTATACTCAAGAAAATACCCAAAGAATTGACTTTCTAAAATTAAGGTGTTATTTACAAACAATTTTTGTTCACAGTCAGGTCAGTTTAGCGAAGACATGATTCCTACCGTGGGCTTCAATATGCGCAAAATCACCAAAGGAAATGTCACTATTAAGGTAAATAAACTCATAAAGTTAATATTATAATAAGTAAGAATTTCGGAAAATATGAATATAAAAGAATATACCTGCTTTTTATCAGATTATTTAGACTACTTTTAGCAGTGGCTTGGTAGAGTTCAAGACTTGAATTCACTGTCTCAGTTCTGCCAATACCGTTTGTGCTAGCTGCGACCCATGTTTACCCTGCTCACTCGTTGGCCAAGTGAAGGGACCAAGACGTTTCGTTCGGCTTCGGTTCTACACTGTCAGAGAGCCATGCTTCGGCCGGCTCAGCAAGAGTGATACATACCACGCCCTCACAGAAAACCAATGTTAAGCATTAGTTCTGACGCTTTTCACTGAGTCGGTGAGGTTAGCAGCGGCGGAGTTAGTGGGCGGCGGTAGCATGAGGTTACAAATAGAATCTAAATGTCTATGGTCACTTCATGGACCAATCCTTTCGTTGTAAATATGCTGAGGACGTAACTGCCCTTCAACGTGTTATGTTCTATATCTGATATGACTATATCATACTTTTAGGTCTGGGATATCGGTGGACAGCCAAGATTCCGTTCTATGTGGGAGAGATACTGCCGAGGCGTCAATGCTATTGTGTATGTATTATATTTTTTTACTTATTTCTGTATAATAATTATTTAAATAAAAAATAAATAATAAATAAATAAACTGACCGACTGATGAAAAAAAATGAAAAAATAGAGGATCTTCAAACTTGTTGGTCTAGTGGTTTCCTATCTTGATTGCTAAACTAGAGGTCGTGGATCGGGACACACAGGACGAATAATTCAGTGATGTGCACGATCATCATTTTGTTTGCTTAGCTACAGATAAAAACATAAATTATGAAAAAAATAAAATTGAAGAATTTAGATATTGAACTGCAGTTTTGGTCACTAATCGACCAGCCACTGAATAATTATTTTCTCAGTTGTATTGGTTGTACTTAAATACCTATTTAAATTTGGAACAATATTTCACCTTAAACCTATTAGAGAATAATAAAAAGTTAAGAGATAAAGAATACCGCTTACTATAATGGATGGAGTTAGGCGAATTGAACTCGGTACTATTTTCTTTAAAGTTATTTATTAAAGTTATATTTGTTGTTGGTCTAGAAATAGCTGTACAATATATACCAACATGTTATCATTAAAGTTTTTCATTGGATGGTAACATTTGCATAGTTACATGGTGGACGCCGCGGACCCCGACAAAATCGAGGCGTCGCGCAACGAGTTGCACAGCCTACTGGAGAAGCAACAGCTCACCGGCATTCCTGTTCTGGTGCTGGGCAACAAACGCGACCTGCCGCACGCGCTCGATGAACACGGCCTTATTGAGCGGATGTAAGTTATACTTCATCACACATCCCATTGACAGTCTTTAATAGTCCACTGTTGGACACAGACCTCTCCTTAGAAAGGAGGTTTTGGCATACTATACCACGTTTGTATCAGGCTTTCCTTCTATTTGCAAAGCTGTGGTCCTCTTCCCTTAGTCGTTGGTACTTTGCTCCTTTAGTCGGCTCTTAGGACATCCACGACTTGAACAGGGGTGGGGGGGGGGGGAGTTATACATGCGTGCAGTTTTGAGAGATTGAGATGTAAGGTAGAAATGATGGGAGAATGTTAAGAGAGTATATATATATACACGGATTTAAGAGGATTTAAGCAATAAGTCGTGCAGGTCTGGGTCTCATATCTGTAACTGGAATTAGCCGGATACTGTTTCCCTCCGAACAGTCATAGCGTGATATTGAATCTATTACCTTCTATAAGAATAAACCCAGTAACTAATCATAAGACAAAAATCTATTGTGTATATATATATATATATATGTAATCTATCTATTTGTTAGAAAGCCTACTTATCAAAAGTACGCTTTCTGACAAATATTATTATTACTACATTATCTTCTCGTGTCACAATGTTCGTTACCATACTCCTCCGAAAGGGCTAGACCGATTTTTATGAAATTTTGTGTGCATATCGGGTAGGTCTGAGAATCGGCCAACATCTATTTTTGACAAGAGTGACCCACCCCTAATTTTTTTTTTGCAATATTTCAATATTTAGAAATAATGTATATGGCAAAACAACGTTTGCCGGATCAGCTAGTTGTTTTTATAATTAAACTTTTAATGTAATAAATTTCCAGGAACCTATCGGCTATCCAAGACCGTGAGATCTGCTGCTATTCAATTTCGTGCAAAGAGAAGGACAATATAGACATCACGCTACAATGGCTCATCGCGCACAGTAAGTCTGGCAGCTCGCGCTAATCGCACACCATTCTCTACTCTATTTACAAGACATCTTTTGCACTTAAGGCGCAGTTTCGTTTGCGCATCGCCGTATTGTTTTGCTGTGCAAATCGACATGTACCCTCTCTAATATTCTATTTAACAAATCAATAAAATAGGTTATCTGACCATAAATAGATAGAATATTGGAAAGGACTAACTATTTGCGATGTGTCTCTCTTAAAAGAACATTATATAGTTTTTTTTTAATTCTAGACATAGAGGTTATAGATAAAATATTTATATAGCCATTATATTTCACTGTGTCTCTAGCGCAAATAATGCAATTTATTCAAATAATGTTATAATGAGACCAATGCTTATAATATATAGTTAAAATTGTATTAAATTAAATTATTTTCGGTTGCAAGATTCGATAGTTTATCAGCAGTCTGATGGTCGGAAAGCATGAGAATGAATTGGATTTTTTTTTAAATTTTATCTGGTATGTCAATGAATATTGGTAAGGCGATTTGTAGTAAAATAGAACTGTAACATTAACAGCTATATCTGAGGGGGTAGGTGTGATTTCAATTCTTAAAATATATTTGCTTAAATATACATGAGTTCTATTCTTTTATAAGTGGCGTAACTTGATAGTCAACCGGTGGACCGGTTTGGCTATACCGCAAAGATTATTATAAGCAATTTATGCTTATAATAATCTTATAAAAATTTCACATGCAGTGTTTATGTTAAACTTAGTATTCTGTAGCATTCTTCTGCATTCTGGAGGATTCTACTATACTGGGATGACTAAAATTTAAGCAAATATATACACTATTTCCTAACTAACCTTTACTAACTTACCTTTTAGGTAAGATGAGAATAAATGCAGCTGAACCGAGTTTGAATCAGATATTAATTTAAATTATAAATATAAGCTTTATAATTGAACATTAATAATATAATAAAAACATTTTTATACATATTGCATGTGTAAATCGGCACTGACCCCCCCCCCCCTCAGAGAGGGGGCACTCAAGAAGCGGTAAGATATTTGTGTCTCTCGAGTTCCATGTGAACGAAGTTCTTTTCGCTTATATGTAGACGTTTGCTGTATATATGAAATATGGAAAAGCTGTGAGTGTTGACGCACTAATTACAATGTCGGAAAAAGGTCTTGTTACACATTTTTCGGTGTCCATCCCATCTGCTCAGAGCGTGTAACGCGCGATAAGGAACTTCGTTCCAAAAATTGATCCATAGACTACTCTTGACCAAGATTGGTTTAATTAGGTCAAATTGTTGGGTAAACCAGAAAGGTATTATATAATTGTTATTAAGTCCCGGTTTATACATAATATGTGTACATGCGAAAGCTTAAAAACAAAGATTTATTTAGTACCAACAAAAGGGTACATGTCTGTCAAGTGAAATCAGTATTTTTATATGAAATACTATGTCTGGATATATACAAATCATTTATAGTAAATGTGAAGGAATTAAATCAATGGTAACATTAAATTGATAATGGAGGACAGTTCAGGCTGTACTTTAAGTTGTTATATTAAATGATGAATGCGAAATAATTTATTTTAAACCTAGGAATCTATCCTATTGTAGCAAGGGTAAATGGTACTGCTTGTGACACATTGTGATTTGAAAGAGTGCTTCGATACCCTTTTTTTTTCCGTGCGGAAATCCCCTCGGATACCACCTATCGGTGGCATGTCGGACTCGAACCGACTAAAACCGCACGTCGTCTCGGGTACTAATAGCCGGGGAACCAGGTGTACCCTAGAAAGGAAGTCCCTGGTGCTGTGCTTCGATACCCTGATAAAACCAATCAGTTTCATATGCGACGCGTTTTTTGACACGCTTGTCAAAACATTCCCCTAATTGTAAAGTTACTGTCAATTTTAAGAGCCTAAATTATTCGTAATATTTCTTCTATATGCCCAGAACATCATCAGTGGGCGTGGCCTTGGGCTTGTTGTTTATGAGTAGTTTCCTATGCTCAAAATTAAACATTTTTCTTGGAGAAAAAATCTAAAATATTTCAATATAATGGGGGTTATTTTTCATTTTTTGGCTTACCAGAAATTGTATACACTGATACAAAGATATTAGATGCATTCAATAGACATGTAACCTATAGTGTAATAATTTCTTATAAGGAAGCACATCATGCACTACCTAATTGTCTTATAGTCATCAAATTTCCATTGGAAGCGAATGATTACATAACACCAAAGGGTGACGTCATACCTTTTTATTTTGTTTGACTTTCAAATCGCTATGTTTTTGTCTATTGTTATGTCATACTTACCTGTTGCCATACTTTTAATATTTGGTATAAAAAGTAAAAAAATATAAAATACTAAAAAAATCATGTCATCAAGTCATAATTCATTTCATCAGGACTGTTGAAATATAAAAATCATTTTAGGAAACTGCTATATTGTTTTTTTATTCAGCACAAGCTTGTAAATACAAATAAAAAGAAAATTTTAATTTTCTGATCTGGTTGTCCGAGGTAATGATAAATTAAAGAAAAATCTAGTAATTTATGCTTGATCTACGTAATCTACTATTGTATGCTCCTAATATTTTTATTATAAAGCATATTTCTTTGTACAAATATGTATTATATGTGTGTTTACAATCTGCGCCTTACAGACATATTGCAAACAGATTGTCTTGTATATTAACCATGTAAGTTGCGGCTATAATGAAGTCAGAATACTTTATTACAATGAATATACGTTAATTGTAGACATTTTAAGTCTTTCAACAAAAAGTATTGCATAGTTTGTGCGTTAGACATCACGGACTAAAAAATTTTAGTTCAGCTAGCTCAGCAGCTTTTATTAATATTATTAGCTCAATTGAAGGGGTTGTCTTATTAAATTGTATTACTTAATTACAATGAGATTGATGATTGTTTTATCTGTAATAAGTTTCAAACAAATATTCAAGTGTAATTGTCGATAACAATTTATCTATGAAAATTAAAAAAAAACTTGTCATAAAAACCAGAGTGGCTTCCTATAGAGCAAAATGGCGACCACTGTTAGGATATCATTATGACAGAACATTCTACGAGTAGAACATATTTGTTTACTTAATTAAGGATATTATTTGTATAAAAAAAGGCGATTTTTCGATAGTCACATATTTGTGTCTATCAAATGCGTTCATCATCATTAACAGCCTATAATGATTCAAAGTATCGATTTTCATACGTATATCATTGTAAATAAAGCAATTTCAATCTCGTTTAAGTCGTGGTACTAGCTTGAGTTATGCACTCTCTAAAACAATTAATGTGATAAATTATCTTGTCACAGTGTCAATTGGCTTGCGTTCAGTTTGAATTGTTTTAAAATGGTGCCAAGCTGACGTTATGTTCATTATAATAATTTACTGCGAGTATCTAATTAAAATGTATAGCCTATTTAAATATGTGAAAGATAATGTCGTCACATTAGGCTGTGTACACACATCTAAAATATAGTCACTGTTAGATCTTTGTTCTGTTCTATCTGGTTTATTCCTATTTTTTGCCTTTCAAAATGTCCAAAAAAAAAGTTTTCTAACACCTTTCTTATATCAGATAAAAGAGAATATTTAACATTTTGTTTTTGCACATTTAAATACCTAAATTGTTTCTTACCCATATTCTGATATCCACTGTCACATAATAGTGTATTGTATTGTAGATATAACTGAAACACTTACATATCAATTAATTCAGTATCGTTTTATAAGAAAGCGCGGCCTGGGAAACGGTTAATATGATATTAATAATAAAAGGAAAACAGATTTTTGTTTTAAAGGAGATCCTCAATAGTTATCCCAGAAGACAATAATCCTCGCCTCTGACGTAGATCAAGACGAACTTGAACATATTATGTAATATGTTCTCACATCTTTCCGTTACTATACTTTAGATGTAGTTTCAAGTTAGAGTATTTAGATTCCTGGATAATGTTAGCGTTATATATTATAAATATACTTATCTCATATTGTTAGCTAAAGAAATAAGATTGAAAGTGACAGGTGTGAGGATAATATTGTTGATTAGGTGAATACTGTACATAACTTTAACAATGCATGTGAATTATGTATAAAATTGTGAAAATATAACACTTTAAGAAGCGGACATACTATTTTATTTCCCAACCTGCGTTTTGACATCTCGCACACAAATGTGGATTCGTATTCATGAATTGATATTTAAATAAATAATTGATTTATTAAAATGTCAGTTATTTTGATATTTTAAATGTTCTCCTTCATTTTATTAAAACAAATAATAACGTAAAATAGTGTACTCGCTTTAATAAATGACCATTTTTATTTAGTTATAAATCGACAGTATTGTCCCCACACTAGCAATGTTTTGTCGAATATAAAAGTCACTAGATGTGTAATTAATTGAAATTATAAAATACCCGCTTTCGAGTGCACATTATGTTAATATAATATATGTATACAGTTCTGTAATATTTATAAATTCGAATGTGGGCGTTCTCCATTAGAAGCATTATCAGTTGAATAGAAGTAAAGAGTGCAATTTAATATTTTATTATTAATAAATACATTAATTTTATTTACAAACCAAAGGAAATGACGCCTAGAGCCATGTCACTAATTAAAATTTGCAGGATGCCCTTTTTTCTTAGTATAAATCTAACTAAATTATTTTTATTATGAAACCATAATATAATGTTCTTTTTTTTTTATTGTCTACTTAATATCAGCATTCTGCAGTTTCGTGGTAATGGTGTTTAGGACCTGTAACGGCTGCGTCAATGCCGACTGTTGGGAATTTCTAAAAAAATAAAATTGTATGTAATCATGGCACTGAATTGTATGTCGAAGTTTTATTGTGTTATAGTACTACTTAATTTAAAAAAAAAAGGTCTATCTCAAATAGTTTTAAATCAATGTTTTCTTTTTAAAATTCTTATTTTCTTAATGAAACTTAAATTCTAGTTGATAAGGTGATATATTAATCAAGTTTATATAAAAATATATACATCTTGGCTATAACTATTATAGAATTTTGTATTGAAATTTCTTCGACAATAAAATGATATGCCGCACTCAGAGGCGTTATAAGATATGTATGTTTTTACAGAAAAAATAATATGTTAAGTATGTTTATTTGTGTACTAAAACAATATAAGTGTTGATCTAAATAGCGGAGTGTAGTGGTCTATGGTCGGTGTACTTCTAATTCACACTGACGCATTTCAGGGCCTAGTGCGAGTCTATTCCACATCAACTCGCTCTCAACGGGGAGCGTTGCGATTGGTTAAGATTTAAGGACAATTCAGTTAATGTGAAATAAACTCGTACTCGATGTATTCGATTCTATACTGAAGCTTACGCAGAAGCGTGTCTTCTTTCTTTTCTAAGAAGTTAAACCGGGCAGAAACAAATTATAGCCATATATATATATACAGGGTGCTGCGGGCTATATATGAAGCTAATAAATATAATTAAAGCAAGTGTACATCGACCATCGAATATTTACCTCCGTTTAAAAGACACCTAGGGAAAATTGCTCACCTCAACATTTTCTATGTTTTTTTTAATGTATTGCAGTATATTTCGTTTTATGTGACTCAATAAAAGTAATACTAACTTAAATGACCATTTTGTTTCTGAGTGTGGTAATTATAATGTACTCTTCAGCATAATTTGGTGAATACAATTTAAATATTGAATACCATATTATTGCATTCCACATTGTTGAAATTATTTGAGGTCGTTCAATATGGTGATTATATTATTTTATATACTGGTGCATAACGTCGTGTGACTGTAATTTATCTTTTTCTACGAAATGATAATATACCACGTGCAGAGAACAACTGAACTGTAATGTGTCTTATTTTTTACTGCCTTTTCACTTT